CGTCTCGCTCCGCTCCTGTCTAGGTCGGGGTGGACTGACTGACTGACTCTTTTGTGTAAGGACTCAACACACACACACACACCCTTTGGACGGTTCACTACAGAAAAGACAAATGTCTACACCCCGGGGGTGGTTGGGCGGGTGAGGGAAGCCCAAGCCTTTTGCTTACACGCTTCTATCTATCTATTGAATCTCTCTATCTATCTATGATTATGTATAAATCTAAATTGCGGGGGGGAAGCCCAAGCCTTTTGCTTTAACGCTTCTATCTATCTATTGAATCTATCTATGATTATGTATAAATCTAAATGCACATGCAGGCATTTATGTGTGTTGTGTAGGAGTGTCCACAGATGGTTGCATTTAGATACGGGTGGGCATTCCTGTGTGGTATTCACACGTCTATATGTAAATGTATGGACGTGGGTGCCGGGGGGGAAGCCCAAGCCTTTTGCTTTAACGCTTCTATCTATCTATTGAATCTATCTATGATTATGTATAAATCTAAATGCACATGCAGGCATTTATGTGTGTTGTGTAGGAGTGTCCACAGATGGTTGCATTTAGATACGGGTGGGCATTCCTGTGTGGTATTCACACGTCTATATGTAAATGTATGGACGTGGGTGCCTTTGGGACAATTCGGCCTATAGGCAAAAAAGAAAAAAAAAGAAAAAAGGGAGCCCTAAAATAGAGATAGTCTGCCTCCCACCTCCGTCTATTTCTCAGCGCTGGAATGGAAGAAAAAGTAACTTTTCTAGAAAAACGGGAAGGGCCTAAAGCCCCCTCACACACACACACAGACTAAAGAATGCAAAGGAAGGATTTCGTAAGCCAACTTTAGGCTCAGCAAATGGGCTCGCCTCCTATGTACATAAATATGGGCGTCTGCACATTAAGTGAGATGGGAACTTCCTAAGTCCCATTGAATCTGCACATGCCGATATTGATGTACCTTGGAGGAAAATCTGTTTGCTGAGCCCAAAATAGTCTTACAATACCCTTTCTTTGCATTTCTCAGTTGTGGCGTTATTTTAGGCCTCTGCCATTTCTTTGGAAAAGTTACTTTTTCTTCCACTCCAGCGCTGAGAAATAGATCTAGCCAGGAGGCAGACTTTTCCCATTTTAGGGCATCTTCTTTTTGTCTGTCAAGCTCCCTTTGTAGACTCTTTGTGCGCATGTAAGCAAATGTACATAAGAGACAGGCACACATATAAGGTGCACATAGACTCCTATCTATGGAGGTATGCAAGACTGATTCACAAATCCATATAGTACCATGGGAGTTTCTTTTGATTTCCGAAGGAGCTTAGATGTATCTCTGATCACACTGACCTCTTTGGAATGAGGTTTTCTAGGATTCACAAATAAAACCCAGGCGGTGGTGTTGAAATCTAGAAAAGAGGGCGTGAAAAGCAAAAGGGAAAAGTTGGGAAAGGCTGTGAGGAAGGCTAGGAATGTGAATTCCAGGAAGGATCTTTTTCTTTCTCTCGGATCTTTCTCTCTCTCTCTCTTTTAAGGTTGTTAATACTTACGTTGTGATTTTTATTGACCAGTTGAAAGGCGATGGTTCTGGGGAGAGAAAGCCCTAAAACAGTGCAATTTGCTCTCTGCTTTTGTTCACGAGTTCTTGCCCTCCTGTTTTTATAGCAGCAGGAGAGCTGTCGTGTTTCTTTCCTTATGGAATTTGCCCTTCCTATTTCTTTTGGAAGGATTCCTTCCTCCCATTTTTGTCTTTGCAATCCCGCCCCATTTTCTTTGGGGTCTGGGATGTCCTTCCTCTTCTTCTTGTGGGTTCCTTGAGGTGCCTTCAAATATATATTCATTTAGAATGTTTTTGCTCCCGACTTTCTCCTTGAAAAGGACCCAAGGCAGCTTATGACAATTGAAAAACAGTATTTCATGTTTAGAACAATGAGTACACAATGGCTGTTAACACCATTAAAAGACAATATTTAAAGCTAAGAACAATGAGTATAACGAGGCATCTTCCATCACTTAAAGGCAATATTAAAACTAGGAAGAATATGTGTACAAATATTAAAAGGGGAAAAAAAGTCATTCCGAGAAATGGGAGACCCTGAAATGGAAAACACAATAACAGTCCATCTAAAAATCTCACACAGGTAGCTAGATTACTCAGCCTAACACCAAACACAGGCCACAAATCGCTGTGTCTGACATATAACCACACACCCATGTCTTAGAGCCAGTGAATGTTTAGTATGCTTTCCTTGTGAAATTGGCATTTCATCCCATGTTTCATTTGTCTTGTTTCGTTTCCTGGGATTTTGACCGACATGCTTACACAGACGGACGCGGCTACCTCTTCTAAAACCGATCTGTTACTGTGCTTCTTGTCTCTCTCTTTGCTAACCTCTGCCCACTCCTGTCTTCGTGACTCTCTTCCACTTCGAACTCTCCCCCCCCCCTCAACCCGCCTACACTTGAGTCTTTTATGTCCTTTCCCAGTTCTGCCTGCCCCACCTTGAAACCTGCCCGGGTTCACCCTCTGCAGGCTCGGAGTTCTTTGAATGGCACTCACTGCTCCGTCCACTTTGGGAGAGGCCGGTGATTCAGGGCTGGTTCAGCGAATAGCTCTGGGGGACCAAAAAAAAAAGAGAGAAATAAATCTTTCTTTGTGTGTGCGCGAAAGGGATGAGTAATAATAATAATAATAATAATATAATTTAAAAAAAAAAGAGAAATAAATCTTTCTTTGTGTGTGGGCGAAAGGGATGAGTAACGGTGGTGTAATCCGCGTAGTTCTGTCTAATGCTGGCAGGCCAACCCAGGGATCGCTTGGCGTTTCATGGTATAGCCCCCACAACCTGTTTTTCTTTTCCAGAGAAATGAATTCTGTTCCTTTTTGCTGAGTTCCTCTCGCTGGGAACTTCTCTAGATATCTAACAGATGCAGTTCGAAAATGCAGGAAAGAGATTTAAAGGCCAGCAGGCAGAGAGCAGAAGCATCAGCCATGGAAGGTTCTGGTGTTTGACACAACTTCAGGATATCTAATCAGTGTAGTTAGAAAATGCTAAAGATAGAAGGCCGGTATCAGGACGAGCGGGTGGAATTCAGACTGCCCTTCTGCGAAGTATGTGGCTCGTTTCCAGTTAAAGATGAAGAATAACCATGTGCTGTCAAGTCACGTCTGACTTAACGGTGACCCTTTTCAGGGGGTTTTCTAAGTCAAGGGTACTCGGGAGTGGTTGACCCTTCCCTTCTTCCGGGGTTGCCCCGGGACTGTTGGGCCGCTTGCCCAGGACCACCCAGGCTGGCTCTTCCCCCCCCCCAGCTCCCCAGCCAGAGACCTCAACCACCGAGCTGTCCTGAGCGAATTGTATGGAAACGGAATCAGAACTCTTGAGTAACCCGTGTGCCAGCCTGCTGAGAGTGACGTTTCATGCAGTTCAGCGAGAATCCGGTCCCGAGTCAGGATCCCTAGGATGAGGCGGGAAGTCTTTGCCCCCTGAGAGGAAACTTTTTCAACCCTTTCCTCCCACACTTTAGGGTTTCTCAGTCTAAGCGAGTGCAGCCAACTTGCTGGTGGGAAAGGCTCATGGGAGTTGTAGTCCAAGAAACGCAGGGGTCTCTAGCCGTAGTTGGGAGTGAGGCGGGCCGACTGTGGTTCTGAGTGCCTGGCCATCATCCTGTGCTCTCTGACCTCTCAGCCGTTTCCCGTTTGGGAGGCAGGAGACAACGGCCCCACTTCCTGGGCTCGGAGTGCCAACTGTCCTCGCCCGTGTCCCTCTCGCCTTGTGAAAGCGCGCCTCTCTTCTCCCCATGAGCTCACCGCCCGTTTTAGTCTCTGATTTAAAAAGAAGAATGAAAGAGTGATTGTTTGTATGAGCTCAATCCCATGGGTCCCTGTATTCAGGCTGGGGCCATCTTGACCTGGAGGGAAGATGAACTTATACGGAGAGAATGTCCTAGGAAGAGGGGGGGGAGAAAGGATTTTTGTTTCAGAACCAGAGGCCTGGAGCTCACGTCTTGATGGATTTCAAAGCGATCCTTCATCTCTTCTGTTCATTCTTCTTCTCCTTTCATTTCCCTACTTCCTGTTCTCCCTTTCTAGTTTTTTCTTTCCTGTGTCTTACGGCCCTCTGGCAGGGAGTGTTAAAGGGGAAAGGGCTCCTGACCTTTTGGTTTCCTCAAGGCATCTTTTGGATGCTGGTAAGAAAAGGGAGCCTGGAATAGAGGGCCTGTTTTTGTCTGGTCCTGCAAAGCGGATGCTGTTCTCTTTGGTCTCGGAGGTGGTGGTCCTTGCCTGCCCTCCGCTAGAGTCAAATCAACTGTTCATGGCACCTGGTGGCCCTTCCCATTGGCTCTCCTCTTCTGTGACATCAGAGCAGCTCGGCCAATGGCAACCGAGTCTGAGTTTGGAGGAGTGCCTGCAAGGTGCCGCTCGCTCTGCCTCTTTCCGGGTAGTTTAGCCAAGTGAAGGAAGGCAAGGAGAGGCAGTGCAAGAAAGAGTTCTGTCTAGTGGTGTAGGTTGGGCAGAGTGGGGCCTCCAGAGGCAGTTTGACTGCAGTTCCCAGCATTCCCCGTTATAACTGTGCTGGCTGTGGCTCATGGGCATTGTAGTCCATCACTGCCTAGAGGGGCTGCCCTTTGGCCACCCATGTTATGTGATAGCTCATGACCTCTTTTGGACGTTGGTGGCAGCTTAGTAACTGTGTGATAGATCCCAGTAGGTCTGGGTTTGTCACAGTCACCCTCGGGGTAATCCATGCGTCTCAGCTTCTCTTCTTCCCTTGTCCCGGTGGGTCTGTTCTGAGCCTGCACTGAAACCTTTGCTCCCTTTTGACTCTCCCTTTCTTCCTTCCCACCTTTCAGCAACGAGTGGAAATCCATAAGCTTCGCCAGGGGGACAACCTCATCCTGGGCTTCAGCATCGGAGGCGGCATCGACCAGGATCCCAGCCAGAACCCCTTCTCCGAGGACAAGACCGATAAGGTCAGAGGCCGAGGGCCTGGAGTCGGTTTTCACCTAAAGCCCCTGAAAATGCGAGAAAGCAAGGCGGAGCGAGAGGCGATGCCTGAATTCTGCGTCTGATTTTGCTTGTGGCAGGCGGTCCCCCCCCCTCTGTTCACAGCTGGCAGGAACCAAGACCCATTAATGATGTCCTTAGGCCAGGCATCACCTGGTGAACTGTGGACTAGTAACTTGTGAAGCTGTTTGGGAGCATGTGGGTTCCAAGGCCCAGTGGACGGGATAGCCACAATGCAGCTGCCAGTAGGGCAGTTCAGAGGAGCCAGGAGCTCCCCGTTAGAGGCTGGTTATTTGGGAATTCTTCAGGAGAGGCTCCAGAGACCCAAGCTTTCCCCTCCCTGTCTTTCGCCCTGTCCAGTCAGTTCTTACTGGGTGGGAATGTCTGGTTGTAAAAAGACCGCCGCCTCAAGCCCTTCACTGGTACGGATGCCCAAGCTCTTCAGCCCTGCTGGGGTGTGGGTGGGGGAAGGCCCTGGCAGAGAGGAGAGCCCATAGACCGTGACTTAGGGCAAAGCAGGTTCGCCCAGAAGCTAGCTGCTGCTTCACAACCTCTTGTCTGTCTGTCTCCTAGGTAGCCTACTCGGTGGAGTGAATGAGTTGTGGAGCTTGTGTTCTTGGAAAAAATTGAGAAATCCTTGTCTCCTTTCTCTCCCCCAGGGCATTTATGTCACCCGAGTGACGGAAGGAGGCCCGGCGGAAGTGGCTGGGCTGCAGGTTGGAGACAAAATCATGCAGGCAAGTCTTGAGCCGGGAGTGGCTGGATGAGGCGTTGTGTCTTTTCCTCTGCCTCTTGGTCAAGAAGCTCGTGGCGGAGGGCTGGTCCGAAGAGAGCCACCCCAAAATTTAGGGGGATCGTTTCCCAAGGATTTTGCAGGTGGTCGTAGTGAGGCGGTCCTTAAAACCGATGGTACAAATGCTGTGTCCCTCCTTTAAATCTGTGCTCCGTCGGTTGCAGGTGAACGGGTGGGACATGACCATGGTCACCCACGACCAGGCCCGGAAGCGGCTGACCAAGCGGAACGAGGAGGTGGTCCGGCTCCTGGTGACCCGGCAGTCCCTCCAGAAGGCGGTCCAGCAGTCCATGATGTCCCAGCCGTGCCACTGAACGGGGGCGGGGGCAGCGCCTCGATCGGAGACTTGGCGAGGTGTCTCTGCTGCTCCCCACCCGCCCGCTCACCCACCCGCCCAGAAATCCTCTCCTGATGGAAGCTCTAGTTCCTGCCCCTTCTTTGGGGAGGCCTAGCCTGTGCCTCTACAGAGGTGGCACCCCTGCTGTGGGCTCTCCTCCCAGGGACACTGGCATCCAAGCCTTGGCCCCGTACACACGCGCCCGCCCCCCGATGGCCTTCTCTCATACAAGATCCTCCTGAGAGGGAGCGGAAGCCACCGAGGTTCCTGGTGGTTCCCTCCGATGGCTCCTGTCCAAACTGAGAGCGGTCATTGACAGCTGGCAAGAAGGGGCAACACAATTATCCAGTAGCCAATGTACTCTATTTTTTTTTAAAAGGTTTCTCTAAATATCTGAGTAAGCACTGTGTGGCTTAGACACCAAAAGCTCTTAAAGCTGTTTTTTTAAAGCACAAGACTGCATTGAGAGGGTGTTGTTTTGTAGATTTTGGGAGGTGTTTCAGACAGCCTGCCTGCCCCGTTTCTGTTTCCAGATCTGAGGTCGGCCAGCAGAGCAGCTCTTTGCCGAGGAGACCCTGGCCAGAGAGTAAAGGGGCCAAAGTCTTTCTGGGCGGAAAGAAGGGCTGCCCTGAATGTAAGGCATACCAAATGATAGGGGAGGGGAGCTGAGGAAGGGGGCCGGCCCTTCTGCCTTGTTTTCTCCCTGACATCTCTGCCGAAATCCAGTGTTCTTGGGACCATTTTTCAGAGGAATGCCCTCGCTGGCCAGTTCTCATTTTTCAAGTCGATCTTTTTGCCTTTACCAAGTTAGTTTCTGATCTCGGGGGTTTATACGGATGACTTCATTCATTGTCCCAGGTCTCTCTTTTTAAAAAAAAATCCTCTGTAAATAACCCTTTTCTCTCTGTGAAGTCGGCAACACTAACTTATTTCAGTATCTCACTGCTGCTCTCCCCGGGCGGTCGTGGTGCTCACCCTCTGCCCGATAGGACTCAAAAGAAGCTGCCCGGCTGCCGAATACCACTAGAGGCCTCTTTTATTACTGTGTTTTTGTACTTCTGATCACAAGGTGGAACTAAAGACGATCTCTTTTGATAAAATTTGCCTTTAAAAAAAAATCAAAGCAGTGTGGAGATGCCCAGAGCAGCTTTCCACCTTTGCTTCATTTCTGTCGTGTGTGTTTCCATACAGCCACTGCCTGGCATTTTGCACACAATAAATTCAAGCTGGACTTTCCATTGGGTATGGATTTTTGTGTGTGCGCTGAGTGCGAGAAGCAGTTCGTGGCAGGAGAGAGCGTTGGCTTTAGGCAGGTTTTGTGTGGGAGGAAAGGGTGCCTCGCTGCTGAAACCTGAGGCTAGATCTTTTATTTTTTTGCTGTCACGGGGGGGGGAGTGAGGGGGCATCTTTGAAGGAGGGTGAGGAGGAGAACCGCAGGCTCTGGGGTGAAATGTGGCAACCCTCCTAGGGGTGGGGGTTACTCCCCTTCCCTTGATGTTGTTTGATGGCTCCCTGGGATAAGCTGTGCACTGGAAAGCTGGAATATTCCTCGTAAAGCCGAGCTCCTAGGAGAAACAGCATGAAGCCAGAATGTGCCATCATCTTGGGGAGCCATCCCTGGGTTTTATCAAGAGGTGCACCCTTGCCGTGGTAAAATGCCTTAAAGCAGCTTAGGAAATGGAGCCGAGGATAAAGTTCTCTGTGTCTGATTGGAGAGCAAGACTCTCTTCCCCTTAAAAAAATAAAAAAAAATTAAGGGATGGGATTCCTTATGATTGCATTCCCAGCCCCAAAGGTGTAGGCGCCGCCTGGGGGGAAAAAGCAGGCCTCCAGGAGATGGAGGACCAGCGCACCTCCTCTGCGGAGAACCTGGGTTCCCAGCGAGTGCCTTGCCCGAAATGCGAGGGCTTTGATCCATCGCAGCCACCCTGTGTGGTTCCACCCACCCTAGTTAAAAACCGCCCGGCCACTACAGTTAGAAGCCTTTTATTTTCAGTGGCTAAAAGAGGTCTGCTCGGGCCTTTCCTGGCCCAGTTCCTCCCTCCTTTGAGTATACCCGCGCGGGAGGCTGGTGCAGATCCGTCGGAAGGCAGCTGTCACAGAACGGCTTCTCTTCATCCGGCCTTCGCGGAAGGCAAGAAATCTTTGGCGACCCAGCGAGGTGAAGTTGGTGGAGAAAGCCACCAGGAATGTGGTTTTGACCATTGGAGAGATGGGTGAGCCAAAGGCCAAGTGTCTCCCTCCCGAGGTGGTCCAGCCACCCGGTGCGAGAGGTGCAGTCCTGGAAGAGGTTAAGGCACCTGTGGGTGGTTGGTCGGTCAAGGGACACGACGAGAGGGCGGGTGTGAAGTCCCAACGAGGAGCCCGCCCGTCCCAAGGTTCTCTCTGAGGTATAAGCTGGAGAGATCCGCAGAGGAGGCCCCTTAGGAGGCGCTCACTCAGCCTCGACCGTGTTGTAGTCCGGAGAGCGGTACAGACAGTAGTGCTGGACGATGAACACGATGTCGAAGAAGATGGAGAAGATGCCGAGGCCGAACTTGGTGGGGTCACCGAAGATCAGCTTCCAGGCATCTGGAACAGAAAAAAGAAATGAAACCATTCTGAGGCCGGCGTTGGGTCAGGTCGCTTCACCGGATGGAAAGTTTAAGAAAGAGCCGAGACGATCTCTCTCTCTTTTTAAAAAAGTTATCTTTGCAATTGTAGCACAAAATGCAACCCCTGCCATTGCTTTACAACATCTACACGCTTGGCCTTGGCTTTTCTAAAAAGGACTGGACCAAAAAAAGGCAATCGGCCCCTGCAACAAGCCTGACGTTACCTCCAGCTCCAGGAGCAGTCTACCACCAAGTGTCAGCTGTAGGGAAGAAACCAGTGAGAGATCTGGACAATTTCTTTCTTGTCCCACGCTTGAATGTCCCAGAGGCCTTTAGCCGGCCATCCCTGGAAACAGCATCCTGTCCCAAAGGTCGGTCTGGCTGGGAGCAAGAGGCCCGCTTACCGTTGTTGTAAGACTGCAGGAACATCTGGATCAGGCTGAAGGCGCCCCCTGTGAAGTCCAGCAGGACGTTACCAATGCTCCAGCCCTCGGTGCTCTTCCGACTGAAGTTCATGTAGGCCTAAGAGGAAGGGGAGTGATTGTGAGGATGGCCATTTCCTTGCCTTTATCTAGCAAGGAAAGCCTGACTCAGCTGCAGAAATAAACCCCTCAATGTTACCAGCCTGTAGGTGTCTCAGCTGCCCAAACCAGGAATGGGAAACACCCGGGAGGGGGGGAATTTTTGAACTATAAATCCCAGCTTCCCACTTTCTGATTCCGAGAGCTCTAGTTGCAGAAATAAACACTTCACATCTCTGGCCAGAATCCCCTGGATGTGGTTTGTGGCATGCCAACCACCGAAAAGGGGGAAACTGCCTTCTTCGACCAAGGCATCTTTTGGTCATCGCCTGGAGGAAATTTGTAATTGCCACAGATGACCAAGGAAGCCTGAAAAAAACCAGCATTCCGTGAAAAAAAAAGGGAGATTGGGCCTGAAACAGGCCTCTCTGTCCCCTCGGCCACAGGGCCGTTTCTCCAAACTCCCCCCCCCAACTCAAAAAAAGGAGAGGATTTCCTGCGAGTTCCTCTGGCTACAGAAGGCAGGACCCAGATCAGAGCCTGAAAATGCCTAAATGAGTGGGAGTTCTTCTCTCCATGTGAATCAAAGCGCGCACACACGTTATTACCCACCCCCAAGCGCTATGAAGAGAGGGCGAGAGAGGAGGGAATGTTTGCCCAAGAGAAGAGTAGGTGAAGACAGGATGTCGGTCTTCAAATATTTGGAAGGCGGGTGGCCCCGCTCATGGCCAGGTGACGCCTCTTCCATGGCCGTGCAAGGCGGGGCTCGGACAGACGCGTACCTGCGGGAAGTATTTGATGAGGGTGACCGCAAGCTTGAGGTAGGAGAAGTAGAACAGGAACTGGAGCCACGTCATTTTCCCGGCGACGGTTACAGCCAAGGTGATGAAGACAAAAATCCATGCGATGATGAGCAGTCCCGTGGCCGTTGCTGACACCTTTTGAGTCCCCCTCTACACCAACACAGGGAGAGGGAAAAGGGCATTTTAAGAGCATTAAGAGCCAGGAGGATGACAACGGCGGGATGGCTTGGCTTCTCCACCCACCGCCTGCAGAAAGAGTCCCACAAATTATCCTTTCACTCATCAAAAGATACTTCCACCGTGATTCCCCTGCCCTGCTCAAGGTCGGATTTTACTTTTTTCAAAAGTGGCAACCTCGTTTGGTCCATGGGCCACTTTTAGTTTCAAAGAAATTTGCAGGAGCCATGTTCTGAGGGTGGGCATATCTCCAAACCCGGCAGATGTTTGCTTGATGTGCTTGTTGACGGCAACTAAACCATAAGGCAGGCGTTTCTTTTTAGAATTGGAGGAAAATTCAAAAGTGGGGTGAATCAGCCAAGGATGGTGTCACAGGTCTGGGGGGTTGCGTTGGTCATCTGGGGAAGGCAAGAGCCCCAGCCCCAGAGACAGGCTTATAATCCTAAAAAAAACTAGAAATCGGCAGCTTTGGGAGAGAACGGCGGGCGAGTCACCTCGTAGATCAGACACTGGCCGATGGTCACAAGGGTGACGGCAATCGCATGGAGGCTGAAGAACACGTCGTTGCTGTCCACCGGGTTGACTCCGTTGGGATACAGATGCAGGAACTGCTCCTGCGGAAAGAAGGGGCACCGGTGCCCCCCACCCCGTGGGTCAGGGCAGGTTGCTCGATTATAGGGCCCCAAGTGGGACTGAACAAAAAGGGATGAAGAAAGCCAGCTGCCCGCCTACCTACCTTCACGGGCCTGATCCAGAAGAGCCCGACGTTGAAGATGCTGTAGGCGATGAAGCCGGTGAGGTTGAGAGCAAGGAAGTCGAAGCTCAGCCCTACGACACTAGTCAAACAACCCCCAAGAAAAGCAGATAAGTCAGCAGGGCAATGAAAATCTTGGAAGCAGCAGCCACCACCTTCCTGCTCAGCTTCGAGGAGGGGCCTAAGCGGCATGTCTTGTGACTGTCCCAAGCACCAAATCATGAGCTCCGAGCTTTCAGTTCAACCTGGACTTCCAAAGCTCTGTTGAGCGCCCCCCCCCGTCCTCCCGGCAGGTTGCATTCTGCGTTTTGCAAACACGCCCCCAGTTTTAAAAGCAGGTTTGTGAGAAGAAGCTTTCAGTCTGTGATCCCCCTCTAGTGGTAACCCGTAAGGAAAGAGGACGGAATTTTTCCCCTATTTTTTTTCTCTCTCCAGCATTTCAAGGTTTGGTGGTGGATGTCTGCTCTCCCTCCCGCCCTAGTGACCAATGGCTGCCACAAAGACAAAATGGGGAGGGAGGGGCTGTGCCTTTCACCTTTTCCGCTTCCAGTTCTCAAACACCTGAGGATAGAAGGAGATGGACCAGGCCAGGAAATAGATCCACCCGATCACTTGGTCCACAATCCTCACCACGTTGCTGTGGATCACCAGGAAGCGGATTCTCGGCCTGCGGGAACAAATGGGGACAGAAACACCACATGGGTGGCCCCGTGGGTTGTAGGGAGAGCAGGTTTCTAGACCTTACGGTGGCAGCTGCCATCCTGGGGATGTGCAGGAAGAGTTTCGGTAAAAGTCTCGGGAGCAGCCAGAGGGAAAGCTGATCAAGATTAGGGAACTATTAGAACTTGGGGAGGCTTTTTTAAAAAGATTTTCCCAGAATCCTTTACTCAGCATAGCCACTATTCCTGCTCGGTGAAGGATTCTGGGAGATGTAGTCCAGAAACCTCTCCTCCTAGAGCAGTGGTTCTTAACCTTTGTAGTAAAGGATTCTGGGAGACGTAGTCCAGAAACCTCTCCTCCTCCTAGAGTGCACACATACACACCCTCATGGGTGCTGTAAATGTATGAGGAACAGCGTGGCGTGGGTCCGGAGTGTGTGCCCCTGCCTGGTTGGACTACACCCCCCATCACGAGGGAGGGTTCTGTTCGGCCACTCACCCGATTTGTTGGCACACATACACACTCTCATTCTCATGGGTGCTGGAAATGTATGAGGAACAGCGTAGCGTGGGTCTGGAGTGTGTGCCCCTGCCTTGTTGGACTACACCCCCCATGACGAGGGAGGGTTCTGTTCGGCCACTCACCCGATTTGTTGGGAGGTGTTGGCTCGAAGGTAGACGGTCACTTGCCCGACCTTGACGGCTCTCACTGGGAAGCTCCCCTGCCTCTGACCGGCCGCTATCACAAGCTGGCAGAGTCAAACAAGGGGTGAAATGTCAGGCAGGGCAGAAGAGCCGGCCTCTCCCCCCCCCCTTTCGCCCAGGGCGGCCCCGCGCCGAAGGCATTTCCCAGTCCCACAGAGCAACGATAGGCTTTGAAGCTGGGCTCATTTTGCAGTGCAGGGATCTGCCCCACCCCAGCTCCCCGGTCCTTCCTGCGAAGGCTCTCCCGTGGGGTCGGGGTCGGCCACTTACTTGCTCCGGCAGCTCCACGATGGTGACATTTTCCCTCGACACGTACGTCATGTTAAACGTGATTCCCAGCGTTTCATTGGATGGGGTGCTGCAAAAAAAAGTAGGGTGGGAGACGCCCTTAGGAGGGAGGGATGTTGCAAGGTCACCCTGCCCATCAGCATACCCCATGGTGGAGGAGGAGGATGGGAGTTGCAATCTGTTCATATGTTTGGGGCACCCGGTCACATGGTCAGTCTCGACTTGGGAGACCTTTAGTTGTAGAGGAGTGGAAGCTTGGCTGCTGCAGTGCACTGTGCAAGGGGCTACCCTTGAAGAGCATCTGGCACGTTCGGTGGGTGCAGAAGGCAGCCTTACAACAAAGGGATACTAACACAATAAAGAAGTCCCTTTTAATTCAACAGTACCTATAAAGTGTTCTTCTCATTTAAAAAAAAACCCATACTTCCATCGTGGTATCCTTGCCACAGGGAAAATAGCTTCCGCTAAGCTCCATGAACATAAGATCTAACCATTGGTCATCCCAGCCCAGGTTCTGCTTGCAATCTCAGTAATGCCTCCCCAGAGTATCAGGCAGGGCCTTTTCATCCTCTAGCCTGGCAAAGCCTGCAAGCATTTTCGACGCCGCTAAGGACCCTTTCTCAAGAACCAAGGAAGACACAAGAAGGAAAGTTCAGCAAGAGAAAGGCACCCTCAGCGAGGAAGCGAGAGACAAAGCACTGTGGCATTTTCCTCTCCCAAAAAAGGAAGAAAGTATAAGGGAGAAGCAGCGTTACCTTTACTTTTATTTTTTTGTAATCATTAACTATGTTTTCTCTGATTCCATCTGCTTCCAGACCAAAGATGGGAAACTCCCAACGGCAGGGCTTATAAGCGTACCTTAAAGTCACTGTGATGTTTTTCGACCTGCCGTTTTCCATCGAGACCACTTCGGGAGCAGAAAGGACAGGGGCTCCTTCAAAACAGGGGGTGGGGATGGGGGGAGAGATAGTACTGGTAATAAAAGATTGGAATAATTAGAAGCCCCAGGAATTGCCCCCTGATCTGGGACTGGGGCCAAAACTGCCACCCTGAGCCATGCGGTCTGGTTTTCAGTCCGAACCTTACCCAAGGTGCTGAACCTGTGCCGTGAAAAAATATTTGAGCCAAACTTTAATGACCATCCCAGTATGACCATTCCCAATTAAGCCCTCAAGTTTTACGGGGACGCATTGCAGACATGTAAGCAAGGAAGCCTTAGCTGTTTGTCTTCTCTCCCCCCCCCCCCGATATTTGAGCAAAGCTTTAATGACCATCCCAGCCTGACCATTCCCAATTGAGCCCTCAGGTTTTACGGGGACGCATCGCAGACATGTAAAAAGCTTTAATGACCATCCCAGCCTGACCATTCCCAATTGAGCCCTCAGGTTTTACGGGGACGCATCGCAGACATGTAAGGAGGACCAGGAGGAAACCCATGACTTCATCCCAAGCTTTCTGCAGAGTCTGCGTGATGAGGTACATCCTAGGGCTCAGGCGGAGGAGATTCCACAGCTTGACCGTCGTCAGGCTCCCGCCCTCCATCCAAGGCTTGGAGGACTTACCACGGACGGCCAGTGAGGACGCGAGCAAGACGAAGCCCAGGACAGGGAGTAAGAGGCCGCCGGAGCTCCCCATCATGCCCGTGCTGAGACAGCTGCAGAGCGGAAATCCCTGGGTCAGCTGAAGAGAGGAAGAGAGAGAGAAAAAAAGCATGAGGCCCAGGCAGGCAGAGAACCAGGCTGGGCGGCTGGAGTGACTCAACAGGCAGTGCGGGGCAGTGGTTATGGCATCTAGAGGGGGGCGGGCTCTGGGTTCAAGTTTGCTGCCACAGCTGGCTTGTCTGAAAAAGGGTGCCACACACCAGAGGTTGATGGCTGAGACGGGAGGGAGCAGGGTCTGCCTGGCCAAGACGATTGGGGGGGGGAGAAAGATGAGGACTCGACCTTGGGCTACCCACTACCCCACACTGCCATCTCTCAAAGGGGGGGGAGGTCTGACGGCTCGAACCTCTAGGATAGGGTTGGGCTGCTTTCCTAGATCCACGGGGCCCCCAAAAAAGGATCGTCTGGTGAGGGTGGGAAGGAGGAAAAACCCCCCAGGACTGTGAAACATAGAGAAGGGGGGGCGGAAATGGGCAGATGTTTTTAAGGGTGGGGGGACCTCCCTCCAACCTCTGGAAAAGGGGGAACTTCCAGGAATTGGAAAGGCACCAAACGAGTCCCTGGTTTTTTTCATGGGCTCGACCCCACTCTGGGGATTATAGGGAGGGGGGGACCTTTCCTTCCTTCCTGCTGTTTAACCCCCTTCGGGGTCCACGGGGGGGCAAAAGCCCAAAAGATGCGCTTGGAAAGATTTTGTTTTGGGGGGCGCCTGGCCCAAAGGAGGTGGCTATAAAGTCGGGGCGGGATTCGCGGCCCCCTTCCCCCCGGTTAAAGGACAGGGCGGGAGCTATAGGGAAGGACCCCCCAGGAGGAAAAACGGGGGAAACGCTCATCGGGGGCGCCCCTGTTTTAAAAGGGGGGAGCAGGACATTTTTTAAAAAACCCTATTTCCCAGCGAGAGCAACCGCCAACTACGGCCCCCATCATGCAACGCGGCGCCGCTCCCGCAAAGCCAAGGGGCCGCCGGTCGCAGGGCACGCTGGGAGTTGGTGTCCTCGCGGGCGAGGGGCGTTCCCCCCCTTTCGCTGCACCAGTTCTTCCCGCCTTACCCAGCTTCGGCTCTCGATCCAAACGGACCTCCGAGGGCGCCCGGAAAGGCCGCCCGGCCCCCCCTTCGAGCGCTCCCCCGCGGAGGCCGCTTCCCCTCCGTTCGAGCCTTCGGGGGCGTCGCTAAGGAGACCGGCCCTCTCCCTGTGGCGTCCCGCGCGCCCTCTAGCTTGCCGTAGCCGCCATCTTGGGTGTGGCGGCCGAAGGGCGTTCCTGAGGCGTAAACTCTTTTGTTTACCTTTCTTTTGGTCCTTGTCCGGCGACTGCGTAGCCCCGAGACCCCTTCGGGTTAAAGGCTTAACGGCTGGGGGGAAAAAGCACCGAGGGAGTTAAGAGGTGGGCTTGGAAAAGGTGGGTAGGTGGGAGAGAGAATACACCCAACATGGCGACGGCAGTCGCCCAGGCCTTCATTTTGGATGCGTCGAAATCCCTTCAGGCCCTCCGAGCGAGATAACGCCCAGAAAAGGAAGGCCAGGGGGACACACTCAAAATGGCGGCCGCCGCCTGATGCCGCCATTTTGGGCGTGGCGCGCAGCTGAGGCGAACTAAATCAAAGTCCACTTTTTCTTCAGATTTTCGTCTCCTCAGCCGCCTTGTTGCCTCAGAGTTTAGTTCCCCACCTTCTGTTTCTTTTTTGTTTTTAACGTTCTTTCACCACCTTTTGGAGACGGGGTGAGGGAATTTCTGTGTGCTTGTGCTTTCATTTATTTATGTATCGAAATACCTATTTTTTAGCAAGAACTGAGGTCGGGCTCTGTTGGGTTTTGCTTTTTCGGTTTATTCTCTTTTAATTTGTTTTTAAATTTCCGCAGCTGTTTTCATTCAGCTCCTTGTTTTTTTTTTTTTTAATTTAATTACTTTAATACTGTTTATATCCCGCCCAAATAGTAGCATTATTACTACTCTGCAGAAGGTGGTGGGATAGAAGCCTTTAATGCTGGGGGCTGAATAAGAGCAAATACTGTATATAAGCTTTTAAATGTTGCTTTTTTAAGATCATTGCAAGGCCCTTTTGGGTCCCTTTGAAGAGAACGGGGGGGGGGATATTTTAAATAAATAACAATTGTTCCTTATTGCGTGAATTATACCCTATGCAACATATAAGTACCGTTCTTTAGTTAAAACTGAGAATAGGTAAGATTTAGAATAATGCATATTTATCTGGGAGAAAGTCTCCTTGAACTCAGTGGTGTTGGGTTTTGCTTTTTCGGTTTATTCTCTTTTAATTTGTTTTTAAATTTCCGCAGCTGTTTTCATTCAGCTCCTTGTTTTTTGTAAAATTTTAATGTAATTACTTTAATACTGTTTATATCCCGCCCAAATAGTGGCATTATTACTACTCTGCAGAAGGTGGTGGGATAGAGTCCTTGAATGCTGTGGGCTAAATAAGAGCAAATACTGTATATAAGCTTTTGAATGTTGCTTTTTTAAGATCATTGCAAGGCCCTTTTGGGTCCCTTTGAAGAGAACGGGGGGGGGGATATTTTAAATAAATAACAATTGTTCCTTATTGCGTGAATTATACCCTATGCAACATATAAGTACCGTTCTTTAGTTAAAACTGAGAATAAGTAAGATTTAGAATAATGCATATTTATCTGGGAGAAAGTCTCCTTGAACTCAGTGGGATTTTTTGTTTCGATAACAAACCCAGGAGGGTCCGGACGGAAAAATAGGAAATAGATGCCCATTTGGGAAACTAACGATTGTGGGTTTTGCATATATGTATGGGGCTTGGTTTTTTGTTTTTTGTTTTTTTGCATTTAAGCCATTCTGATTTCAGAAAAATTAAGTTTTGAACGGCCAATCAAACGTTTTCCAACCCTGGACTTGCTTGGATGGTGGGGATTTTGGCTGTTCTAGTGAGAAAAGAAAAGAAAAGTAACTTCTTTGAGCTTTAAAGTGGACAGAGCGTCGTAAGGAGTCCCTTCAAACTTAGAAAGGCGGCTCCATGGTGGACTACATAACCCAGAATCCCCAAGTCTGGGTTTTCTAATCCAAAAGGCGAGAGCCACCTTTCCAGCTTCTAAATCCAGTCTTTGCAATATAAATGGGCATCCTGATTTTTCTTCTGTGCTTGAAATCTGTGCAATTTGAGGTCACTTCAGTCCACGCCATTGTTTTCTCCCGTTGCAGGCGGAGGATGATGGAGGCCCCCTTGAAAACCCGGGATGAGAGTTTGAAACCCAGGGTGCTGGCGGGGCAGCCCTCCGTTGTGATGGGCATTGATCTAGGAACCACGTCTGTGAAGGCTGTCTTGGTGGAAGAAGCAGACGGAGGTTTTTCCGTGGTGGCCAGCTGCGCCAAGGACACGCGGGCAGACGTGGGGAGCCAGGGCGATGTTGGCCCGCAGGTAAAACAGGAAAAAAAATTGGTGGGGGCAAAAGCTTAATTTTGTTTATTGCATTTCTTTCATACTTCTTGTACCTCACCCCATAGTGATTAAAAGCATTTTTAATCATGCAGGCTGCACATTGCAGCCATTTCTCAATGACCTGGGTACTTGATTTACTGAACTTGGAGGGATGGTTGTGAGCAGAGTCTTAACGGCAGTGCTGTAATGTAATCACCGCACCACAAGGCTCATCCGAGCCCCTTCTGAAGTCATTGCATTTCCTCCTATAAACTCAGAAGGAACAAAAATGGGTCCTTTCCTCTCTATTTTATCTTCACAACAGCTTTGTTAAGCTGCCTTTTTGTTCTGCAGCTCTCAGAATCCCCCAGCCAGCACCTTCACCCCTTATTGGTGGAATCACAGAGTCAGGGTCCCAGAAAAGTAACTTTTTCAAGCTCTTACCTGCCCAATTTTTTTTCCTTAGGGGCTGAGTGAACACAAAAAATAAAGTTGGCAGCTTTAAAATAAAATAAAACTATAGTCAGAGATGCTATTGATTTAATAACAGCTGATTCAGAGGCAAAAATCCAACCGATAGAGCTTAATTTTCTGGACAAAATGCTGAAATCTGGGAAATAATAATAATAATTTATTGTCATTGTAAGTATGTACACATACAACGAAATTCACAACGAAATGTTTGGTTTTTCCATAAGCAAATTGAAAATTTATCCCTCTCTGTTTTTTTCCTGGTTCATTTCAGAGAAATGAGCAAGATGTTCACAAGATCATTACTGCCTTGAACGAGTGCCTAGCAAGCCTTCCACCACAACAACTGTCAAGGGTTTCCCACATCGGTGTCTGTGGCCAAATGCACGGGATTATGTTCTGGAAAACAGGTCGAGGTAAGCTTCTAGGGTGTTGTTGCCACAAGCTTATTTTTCCAAATAGTCCTCCCCCCCCCCTTTTCCTCAGAGATTTGGCAGCTAGCGTGATGAAGAGGTCAACGATCTTAAAAGTGTCCACGCTGTTTTGGGTGAGCCTAGTAAGGAGAGGGTGCAATATAAACTGAAGCGCGTCTTCTTAGCTTGAGAGAGAGCAGCTCCCTGCCTAAGATCAACCCAACCCCTCCCTCCCAAAATCTGAATGTTAAGTTATAAACTGTAACTCTGGAAAGGCCCTTTCTAAAGCTAGTGTCTGCACAGGGAGGAACACATGATTTGCAGTGGGATTTCTTCCTACCACCACTCCTTAAGGGTAGGGTTTCCTCATTCAATCCAAATCTTCGCCTTCCTAATTGCATGGTGGTCCTTTGGGCCATGGTTATTGCTTATGAGGTTCGTGAGGATTCTCTTATCACCATAGCAAAGGAAGAAAGAGTTGAACCTCACTGCCCCCTCTCTTATCTGCTCTGGTTTATTAATTTTCAGCCTAGCCAGTTAAATTTCATAGATGCGATGTAAAATGAGTGAATGCCCCATTAAACATCACATGTTGTCTGCTGCAAGGGGGGGGACGGGTCCTGTTCTTTGAACATTTGGAGGTGCAAAGGGTTTATTGGATGGAGAGAGCGACCGGTGAGGACATAACGAAGTAAATGAACAAAGGCCAAGAAATCATAAAACACATGACAGGCCAAAAAAAAACACAGCCTAGAATGCTCTGGTTACATAGCGGGAAATAAAAAGTCCAGCTGCTTCTGTCAAAATAAATTGGAGAAGAAGTGGAGGGGAGGGGATGGTCCTTTTGCTGTAAAACATGGAGGACTAGTTTGGAAGCAACAAGACATCCCAAATTCAGAATAGCCAGGATGAACCCTCCATGAGGGGAGGAGGAAAGAGGAAAAGAAGAGGAAGGAGGTGGGGGTGAGGTGGAGCTCTTTATTTTTGTATTTCCCCCCCATTTTTAACAATTGTATCAAAGAAAGGGAAGAAAAAGAAAGGGAGAACAGTCATTGAGTCAAGAGATACAACATGCTTTTCCTTTAACCACTGCCAGGGGCTCAGCTGTTTCACAGAGATGGGGCTCTCTGTAAAGAGATCAAAGTAACTATGAAGGAAAGGCCAGGATAAAAACCTAGAGGCAACAAATTGGCAGTATTCCTCAACCTAAAAAAACAACAACACAGAGCAGGAAATCTTCTGTTAAAATGGAAGAAAGGATGAACAGCTGCTGTGAATGCAATTTGTGTCTTCTGCAGGAAGGATCGTGTGAGAGTTAAGGCTGAGTTAAGGCTTTGATCTCCTCTTCTGAATGGTTTAGCATTTTTTATCAAAAGGTTGTGCAAGGCACTTTAGGAAATACACACACACGCCCATAACTGTCATTTTCCTTTGCATGAAATAGTCTGCCCCTCCCGCTCCTGCCCACCAGCCTTCGAGATGCGGCTGGACTAAAGTTTCTGTCAGCCTTAGGCAGTATTGAGGGAGACTGGGATTTGCAGTCTGCCCATCTCCAAAGTTCCACCTCCATTGCATGGAGCCTGAGCCGTAGTTCTCAACCTTTGCTCTGATCGGTTTTCCAAGTGGGAATGCTTAATGACTTTTCCTGACTTTTCTCCTTTCCAGAAACTTGCCTCTGCTCTTTGGTTTTGTCCCCTGCAGTCTGGCTTGCCGGGGACCAAATGTAAAAAGGGCCGCAGGCTCCTCTGGGTGAGCTGAAAAAAACAAAAGAAACCACAACCTCTTTGCTGCAAATGAGGATTTCTTAATTGATTTCGGGGTTTTTTTGCTTTTTCCTCCCTAAATGGCAGCGTTTTGCTTTTCAAAGGATGGTCATTAACGCTCTCCCAAAGAGGCCATTTTCTTGCTAACTGAGAGCCAAATGGAATAACAAAAGGATGGGAGGAAACACCCTTGAAAGCAGCTTTAATTTTAATTTTTTATTTTTTAAAAGGAGAAGCAAGGGAGAAATAAAAAGGGTCCTATTTAAAGTGAAACCAAACAGCCTTGGAGTGTTTTCATCTTTTCAGGGTGTTCAGTTATTGCTGTAATCTTAGGAACACATTTATCTTCCACTTTTCCACCTCTGAGTAGCTCAGGGTGTGTTCGTGGCTTTTCCCCTCCCCAAATTCTAGGCAGAATTGATAAAATGTCATACCCCAAAACAGTGGGCCTCTCTGGGAAGACCCAGAAAAGCGCTCCTAGCTTTGAGTTGTGGGAGGCAGGGTCCGAGATTTTCTACGGGGAGGGAGGAGAAGAGGGACCTTTCTGTCCGTCTCTCGTTGAAGACTTCAGGGGTGGGGGTTGGGGTGGGGGTGGGGCTTCTTGGCATCCCCCTTTGTCTCCTCATGGCATGAGGGGGGGCATTTGGTCACCTGGAGCATATTTTGAGTGGCCACCCTCGTCCTCCCATCACTGGTTCATCATCTGCCCACCCCAGGTTGCAAGTGGACAGAGCACAGAGATAGCTGGAGGTTTCAGCCCAAGGAAGTCAGTCACCTCGTCACGTGGCAAGATGCCCGCTGCGGCGCCCACTTCCTGTCCTCTCTTCCTCAGCCACGGTCGCACCTCAGCGTGGCGACAGGGTATGGCTGCGCCACCGTCTTCTGGTACTTAAAGAACAGGTACTGCAAGCTTCCTGGCTTCATCGGCGGCGCTGTCTTTAGGTGTGTGGAAGCGCCCGTGCCCACTGCCTCTCCTTTTGTTGTCTCTGGACAGCCCGGACTTCCTGAAGCCGTACGACGCGGCAGGCACCATCCACGACTATGTGGTTGCCATGTTGTGTGGCCACGAGAGGCCACGGATGTCTGTCCAGAACGCATTTTCTATGGGGAGGGAGGAGAAGAGGGACCTTTGTGTCTGTCTCTCGTTGAAGACTTCAGGGGTGGGGGTGGGGGGGGGGCTTCTTGGTGTACCATGCTGTCGCCCTTTAGCCGTACTGTCTCTGCAAAGGGCATGTGGACTCCTGACAGGCCAGCACAGAAGAGCTGGCATATAACAAAAAGACTGAGGTGGTTAGAGATGTAAAATTTTCCAGACGTTTTGAAGCCCTATAAAATGGCTCTGGGAGAAAAAACACAGAAAAAACAACA